CGAGGAGACGGGTTCAGAGTGGAGGGAATGGCCCAGGCAGAGGCTGTGCAGTGACCTAGCTGGGCATGGTTTGTGGGTGTGGCCCGGTGACGTGGGGCTGGAGGCCTTGTCGGTCCGGCCTCCTGAGTGGAGTTCAGTAGATTGAGGCCCAGGCGGTTGGCTGAGCAGGAGGTGTCCACGTTGTGTGGTTGGTGTGGACGGCCAAGCACCCTGGGGCTCTGGAGGGGCGGGGAGGAAGCAGGCCATTCTGGTGCCTTTCCAAGGGCGGCCAGGGCAGAGGAAGTGGCCGGGCGGGGCATCCTTTGAAGTTGGGCCGAGCTGGGCTGGGCAGATGGAAACCAGATGGCGGCCTCGGTGGCCAGTGGGGCTTGCATTCCATCCTCGGCCAGCTGGGCCCTGCCCCGACCTCTAGGAGTGGCTGGAGGGGACCTGGCCTCCCTGGCCCAGAGCCCAGCCTTGCTGGGGCTCCACGGGGCTGTGAACATGACGGCACCCGAGAGTGGCCTCCGGGTAGCTCCCTTCCAGATGCTGGCTCCAGGATTGGCTGCGAGCCCCTCCCAGAGGGAGGTGAAGCCCGGCTACCCTGCGCTGGTCTCTAGGGACTCAGAGCCAGTGGCTTCTCTCTCTGCTTCACTTGGAGAAGAGGATGCTGGGACTCAGGAGCCCTCGGAGACTTGCGTTCAGGCCATCAGAAAACTCACCGATGAAGTAAAGAACTGGAAATTGGACCCATGGGGGCTGTGTTGGGAGTGACAGGGATGGAGGAGGTGGGGAGGCAGGAGGGTTGGCCAGGCCAGCTTCAAGGATGTGGCCACCAACCTGAACCTGCATGGAGGACTGACGGCCCCACCCTGCTCCCTGCCTCAGTTTCCCTCCCTTTGGGAAGAAAACCCTTGCTAGGTGGCCGCTCACCCCATTTTGTAGGTGAGAAAACAGGCATGGTGTTGGAAGCAGGTTCTGCAGACTCCGAGCCCCTGGCGTCCTCTGGGTTCAACATAACACAGACGGACATGTTGTAGGCGAGTCGTGTTTACTTAGCCACCAAATATTTGCTGTCTGCCCTGCACACAGCCCTCAGGCTGGGAGTCACAGCTGGACAGACCCTCCTGCCTCACAGCATCACAGCCAGGTGGGAGGGGCGAGGTTGTGCGGCCCTCGGGGCATCAGAGGTTGACAGAACCCCTGCTCCCCTGGCCCCAACACTGATGGAGGGAAGGGGGGCGTTGGTGGTCAGACCAGGTGGGGACAGGGGTTAGAAGCCCTGACCCCAAAGACCTTTTCGCATGTCAGGAACAAAGAGCCTCCGGAGCCATTGTCCCACTTGTCGGGGACGTGACGGTGATGTCTGGGGATACACAGGGTCAGGTCACAGTTTCTGAGGCCAGACGGTCAGGGAGCTTCAGTGTTACAAACTCACTCTCATGGTTTCTTTCTGTTGTGGGTGGAGAAGGTCAGTAAACCAGTAAATGGATAATAACATGGGATGTGGCCGGCATTTTTACAGAGGAAGCAGCGAGCCTCTTAGAACGTGACCTTTGGGCTGAGCCTTGTAGGAGAAGGAGCCAGGCACACACATGGAGGAATGGTGCGCCTGGCAGAGGAAACAGCCCGTGCAAAGGCCCTGCGGTGGGACCTGGCTTGGCTTGGGCATAGGGGCCAGACATTACTGGTCTGGGTCCCGAGATGAGGTGGGCTGAGGGAGGTTTGGGGCCACCGGGGACCTGCCCTGTGGTGCTGGGAGCTTATTTTTGCCCGTTTATGGCAGGTCCTGCTGCCGGTGCTGCCTGCCCACCCAGCTAGCCAGGCACCTGTGCAGCCAGTGTCAATAGTAGAGGCGATGGGCCTGTATTCCGAGATGAGGTGGGCTGAGGGAGGTTTGGGGACACCGGGGGCCTGCCCTGTGGTGCTGGGAGCTTATTTTTGCCCGTTTATGGCAGGTCCTGCTGCCGGTGCTGCCTGCCCACCCAGCTAGCCAGGCACCTGTGCAGCCAGTGTCAATAGTGGCTTGGGCCCAGCCAGCTTGGCAGATGTTGGGGGCCGTGTTGACTCTGGCGCTGCCCCACCCCCTTCCTGGCACGTGGCAGCCAGCCGGCCGGCCATCCACTTGGCATCATCTCTGCCTCTTCCTCCCTGATCTTGGCAGGGCCTGACTTCTGCCCTGAAACCCTCGACAGCCTTGACATTTCACTGTCGGCTGTCGGTCTGGGGGCAGCCAGGCTGGGGAGGGGCCAGGAGCAGTGGGCTCGTGACCACAAAATCTTTCCTGGAAAACCTGGAAACCCCCCCAGACAGGTACTCTCATGAAGCTCACCCGGAGCTGCTGGCTGGGGATGAGGGTGTGTAACAGGCCGTGATTAGGATCTCAGCCTCCTGGCGTCGGATGTGGCATCTGGTGACATCCTGGTGGCTTCCTGTCACCAACACAGCCATGCGTGGGCTTTAGAAAGTGCCACTGTGGGATTTTAAATCAGCAAACTCTTCCTCACAGATCTTCAGCCGCTAAAGGATTTGAACCCTTTGTCTTAAGAACTCAAATCAGTGTTGGCATTTTCAAACAGCTTTATTGATAGAAAAGTTGCATGGTACATAATTCACCCATTTAAAGGGTGCAGTTCACTGGTTTTTAGTATATTCACAGGGTTGTGCGCCCATCACCACATCAATTTTTGGACATTTCATCCCCCAGAAAGGAGTTGCATCCCCTTTAGCAGTTCCCCTCACCCCCTTCCCCAGCCCTTGACCCATTTTCTGTGGATGTGCCTGTCCTGGGCATTTCACATAAATAGAATCACACGCTGTGTGGCCTTGGGTGTCTGGCTTCTCTCACTGAGAGTCATGTGTTCAAGGTCCATCCCCATTGTAGTGAGTGTCGGTGCTCCGCTCCTTTTCGTGGCCGAGTGATATTCCAGAGTATAGATGGATCCCATTGTGCTTGTCCACTTCTCCGTGGGCGGATACTTGGGTGGCTTCCACCTCTCGGCAGTGGGGAATCGTGCTGCTGTGAACATGCATGTTCATGTGCAGGTTTTTGTGTGAACATAGGTTTTCACTTGTCTTGGGTGTGCACCTAGCAGTGGGCTTTCTGGTTCAGATGGTAACTGTGTTTGATGTGTCGAGGAGCTGCTGAGCGCTGGCCACAGCCCTGCCCCATTTTGCATCCCACCTGCCGTGCATGAGGCTCCAGTTTCTCCCAGTTCTCACCAGCACCTGTCATGCCTGGTTCCAGCCGTGTGTGTGGGTGGGAGTCCCCTGGCATCTCAACGGTGGTTTTGATTTGCATGAAATGTTGGGCTACTTTTCCCTGCTCTCCAAGGTAATGTCTGCTCACCACATAACCTGTAAAGGAGGTCAGAGATGACAATTTTGCCTAATATATGTCGCTTAACTGTGCCGCAGGCAGCAGGTTGCACGGCTCATGTATGTCTCATGTGTATCCTCTTGATGCCACGGGGGAGGCATTGCCATGGCCCCTGTTGTGCAAATGGGGAAACTGAGGCCCTTGCCCTGGGGGAGGTGTCAGAGCTGGGACGGGATTCCAGGGTAACCTGGCCCAGCACCTGCCAGAGCATTCCTGGGGGAGCGGATGGACCGGCAAGGGGCCCGGGCCACTGGCTACGGGGTTGAAGGGAAGCCTGGCAGCTTTACCGAGCCTCCGTCTCCTTCATCTGAAACGGCAGCAGCTGGTCCAAGGCGTCACACTGAGGTCTCAGGACCCAGTGCCTGGACACAGTGGGCACTTGGGCAGAAATAGCCACCAGCAGCCCCAAGAGGCCGCTGGCTGCCTCCTCACCAAGGGCCCCATCTGGCCTCCCCCACCCCCGGGCCTCTGGGGGCCCATTTATTCCAGGGGTGTCCTGCTCCTCTCTGACACACGTGGCCCTGGGTATGGGTTTAGGGACTGGGAGGTGAAGAAGCCATGGGTCTCAGAGGTGTCCTCAGCTAGAGGACATGGTTTTTTGTTTTTTGGTGTTTTTTTTTAGAAAGAAAAGGAAAGGTTTTATTCTGCGTCCCCGGGAGACCCACGAACCCCAAAGACAGGGCCAGTGGATTCCTAGAGGACATGTTTTAAGTTCATTTTTTGTTCCAGAATTAACACTAGACACCATTCTTGTGGGGAGAGAACATGGACTGCTTCCATCGAAGCTCGAGGCTGACAGCCCCCACCCCAAACTGGCCGGTGTCAGCCATGGTTTTTCTGGGCCCACGTGTGCCCAGACATGTGACCTTTTCAGAGATGTGGGTGGTTCCACCCATTGCTCAGCTGGACACTGCTTTTGTTTTTTTTTATTTATAGTCTAAAGTTTTACATATGCCTCATGGTTGGCCCAGGGCTGCCAGGAGCACTCTGAGCCTGCTCTATGGAGTCTGATGGGCAATGGTGGTGGCCTGCCGACTTCATCACCAGCTCCAATGACTGGAAAGGGTAACTGGAGTGGGGTTGCTCATAATTCATAATGATGCTGAGTGGGAATGTGATATGTGCACATATAAATCCTACAACAGGATTTAAGGAACTAAGGGGATATATACGTCAGAGTCCAGAGGTCACAGGAAGTAGGATTTGTGTTCTTCCTATGTTTCCAGCAGCACCTGGTTCACTTTTGTGATTCAGCAATCATTCACTTAGGCCAAAGTGTCCAAGTCCATCCTGAATAAAGACTTTTTTCTATTATTTAAAGTATTACATGTCTTCTTTTTCCACAATTGATCCCTCCCTGGCCACTCCCACACCCCAAGACAAGCCCCCACTGCCCCAGTATCCGTGTCCATTGGTTATGCTAATATGCGTGCATACAAGTCCTTTGGTTGCTCTCTAACCCCCCTTCCCCTGCCGTTTGTCTCTGGACACTGCTTTTTGTAGGTGTTTTCATGCCCTCATCACTCAGCATCTGACTGTCGTATGAGAATGTCCCAAGTTGCCTGGTTTTTGTTAGCTCCATGCAGAGTTCCCTTGTGGGGCTGACACCAGTGCTGGTCTGCTTCTCTGTTTCCTTGTTGTAAACACTGCAGTGAACATCTCTGGCCTGACCGGAGCTGCTTGGGGCAGTGTCGGGAGGGGTGGGGTGGGGTGGGGAGCTGGAATTGCTGGGGCTCAGGGAGGAGGTGGCAGACATTTTCTTTATCCTGCCTGGCAGCCCCCCAGGCTGGGGAATATAGATCAGGACACAGGTATTCCCAGTCCTAAGGGGGTCAGGGCTGGGCTAGAGGAAGAGGATTGGAAGGAAGGCTGCCCAGAGGAAGGGGCATTGGAGCGGGGGCTTTGCAGGGCATGAAAAAGTTTGCCAGGTGGGCAGAGAAGGGTAGGGTTTGCTTCTTGGAATAGCGTGGCTGGAACATAAAGGGGAAGGGAAGAGGTGGGAAGAATATTAGAGCAACCCAGAAGTAGGCTCACAGGCGGTCTTGGCAGGATTTAGGTGGGGGGTGGGGGAGATGCTGGGAGGCCTCTTCAGGAGCCCACGGGCCAGGCAGAGGTGAGCGGCCGGCGTCACAGCTGAGCCTTTTGGATGGGGACAGAGGATGAGTAGGAATCTTCCCAGTGGAGGAGGGCACTCCAGGGAAAGGACACAGCCTGGGCAAAGGCCAGGTCAGACACTGGGTTCTGAGCCCAGCATGTGCATCCGGTGTGCCTGAGACCGAGTGGGCCAGGGGCCAGGCCCCGTGGGTGCTGGGCCAGCCAGCTCTGGCACCAGGTGTCTTCCTGAGGCGCTGGGAATCCTGGGCCGCGTTCAAAGGGGTGGGGAGGGGTATTGGGAAGCCCCTGGGGAGCCCAGCCCTCCCTGCCTAGGGCAGCGCCTGCCTCATCAAAGCTGCTGTGGCTGTTGGCTCAGAGCCAGCTGGGTCATGGCGGGTGTGGGGAGGGTGCTTGCCCGCCAGCCCCTGGCACCATGCCCCTGCCCGTGCCAGCCCTGGGAACCACACTGACTCAGCCGGAAGAACCTTATCTGGCCCCTATGCTGTCACCCAGCCACAGGGTCACCACCATGGGGTCACCGCTGTGGCCTGGCCCTACGCCCACTGCCAGCTCCCCACCCTGGTGGCGCTGCCAAGTGCCCAGCCACGCCTCACGCTCTCTAATAACACACGCGGCTGACGGAGGGAGCGGTGCCTGGCAGGCAGTGTCCTCCCGAGTGCCCAGCAGGGAATGAGCGTGGGTGAGCCACGTGGGGCCGCCCGCTGGCAGGGTGTGTGCGTGTGCATGTGGGTGTGGGGACGTGGTGGTGCATATGGTTCCGTGGGCTGTGGGGTCCCATCTTCCCAGGGCCCTGAGAGTGTCGGAGTCTGTTTGCCAGAGCTAGGGCCCCGGGGACATTTGAACCCTCTTGTGCGTAACACACACTTGTGCTTGTGCGTGGCTTTCGTGTGTGTGTGTGTGTGTGTGTGTGTGTGTGTGTGTGTGTTCTGAGGCCATGTAGACCCATCTGCGGCATCTTTTTTTTTTTTTTAATTAACTTTATAGAGAGGAAGTGGGCGGGGGGAGGGAGAGAAATATCGATGTAAGAAAGAAACACCAATCGGTTGCCTCCCGCACTGCACCCCAACGGGATTGAACCCGATACCTGGGTATGTGCCCTGACCTGGAATCCACCCGCCACTTTTTGGTGTACGGGACGACGCTCCAACCAACTCAGTCACACTGGCCAGGGCGCGTCTTCTATGTGTGTCTGTCATCTTGGGCACATGCTCAAGTCCTGATGTGTGTGTATGTCTGCATGTGCTTACCATGTGACGTGTCTCCAACTTATGTGGACATGTTGCTGAGTCCGCCCTGGGGTCCGGACACACCTAGGGGTGACTGGGTGTCCCAGAATGTGCTGACTCCGGTGCCTAGAGTGCTCCTGGTGTCTGTATGTGATGGGGTGACAGTCTCCTGTGGCTTTGTTTGCACCTGGCCGTGTAGGTGGGGGTCTGCAAGCACACACGTGTGAGAGCACCTACACACGGCCGGCTCCCACAGGTGCCTGTGTGTGGGCCTGCGTGCCTGCCGCCGCTGGGCTCCCCTGCCCTGTGCGGCGTGAGGTCTCGGTGGTGCCCATTAACTGTAACCAGAGAGTCAGGTCCCCTGGTCAGTGGTTCACATTGGTCAGCTGCCCTCGCCTGCCTGCAGTGGATCGGACTGCAGCGCCGACAGGGCCCAGGGGCCATGGAGACTCCCACCACCCTCCTCGATTCCTTCCCCTCGTGTGCTGTGTGATCTTAGGCAGGGCTGTGCCCTCTCTGATCCAGGGCTTGGCCCACTCTGTGCCTCAGTTTTTACTCTTGACACAAAGGCCCTTCAACCCCCTAAACGTTCTAATTCCCACAGCCAGCACCACCTATAGTGATGTGGTGGGGAGTCCCCCTCACCCTTTGTTGTGATAGCCCCGCACCCCCATCACAGATGCTGTCACCATGTCAGGATGCACTCCATGCCTGGTCAGGGGAGCAGCTGGGGGTACTGGCCGGTGGGTGGTCATGCGTGGGGGCGGGGTGCAGACCGCCCCTTTTCTGACTGCCTGGCTGCGTTCGGCCAGAGGACAATTAGGGGTCACAGGGTTAAATGGTAACCAGCCTGCCTATTGAAGGCCTCAGCTCAGGACTTGGCCTTGCACTGTGGTTGGGGCTGGCAGGGGTCTCATGGGGCTGAGGGGTGGGGGCCAGGGAAGGTGCAGTCAGTACCGCTCGCCACCCTTGCAAGCCCCTCGGCCCCAGGGGCCCCTGCAGAAGCGGATCTGGGACGCACTTCTGTCCTCCCAGACGAAGGAGACAGGTCTTTGCAGATATAATTAGCTAAGATGAGGTCAGACTGGAGTAGGGTGGGCCCCGAGTCTAAGGACAGGTGTCCTTATAAGAAGAGGAGACACACACAGGGAGACAGACAGACCCCTGACATGGCGCTCGGATGGGCACTTTCAGGAGGGAGCCAGGGCCTGCTCGGCACATGATGTGGACGGCCCGGCCCCCACCAGCTGCCCACTCCGCTTTGGGAATTGGGTTGAGTCAAGGAGACCCCTACTGTCCCACCCATGAGGTCGTGGGACTGGGTTCAGGCAGAAAGTCAGGCTGTGCACCTGTGTGCACGTGGCTGCGCCCGGTCCTTCCACAAATACGTATAGAGCACCTGCTGTGTACCAGCCCCCATTCTGGGCACCGGGGACGAATCTGTAAAGAAAACAGACAGGAAAAAAAAGAAAAGAAAACAGACAGGAGTTGCTATCCTCTTACAGCCTGGTGTGGGGGCGGGGGCAGGGGACCCAGCGGGCCAGGTGAGCGCGGCGGCCAAGGGCAGGCTGTCTGGGGCCATTATCTTCGAGCCAGAAAACAAGGGTGTGTCTGTGTTTGTGTGTCTGTGTCTGGGTGGACGGGCGTGTCCAGGTGTGTACTGGGAGACCACATAAGGGTGGGCAGAGCCGTGGGCACATCAGCAGGGTCTGTGAGCCGCATAGAGGTCCAGGTTGGGGGGCTGTGTGGCTCTCTGGGTGGGGTCGGGGCTGGCGGTTTCTGTCGGGGTGGAGTCGTTGAAGTGGTGCGCGTGAGTTCTGCTGGTCTCCTGGGGGGTTGTCTGCCATCTCTCTCCAGGCTGGCGTGGCCAGGAGGGGCCATGTGCCTCAGTGCTGTGCCCCATGAAGGGTCTGCCCCATGGTCACCCTGGCCTCTGCCCTGTTAGGCTGTGCTCCCAGCCCCCCACCCCGAATAGTGGTCTGAGCTCATCGCTACAAATGTGGCTCGTCTGGGCTTGGGAGGCCCCCACCCAAGAGGGCACCTGCCCAGGCTCCAAGCCCCCAACACTAAAGGGCCCCCCATTGCAGACCAGGCAGGGGCTGGCTGCCCCTTCCTTCTGTTCTTATTTAATCCCCTTCTGTGATCAGCTCCGTGAATTCTTCTCTGGGATGCAGGCTGGGTCAGCTTCTCTGATGGGGGCTGGCAGGCCAGGGGACAGCCGGGGGCTGGGACCCTGACTGCGTCTGTCTGTTAATGGAGCCTCCTGGTTTTGCTCTCTCCCCCATGCCTCTCTGTCTCTTTCCCTCTCTGTCACTTTCCCAGGGCCAGCAGGCTGGCGAGTGCCCTGTGGATGGGTGTGCATGGGTGCCACCCTCTCCCCGCCCTGCTCAGCCATTGGCCTACCTTCCCCCTCCCCTTCCCCTTCAGCGACTACTAATGGGTGCCCGATTCTTGGAAGGGAAGTGGGGCCTGTAGTCACTTCTGGGTTATTCATTTCGTTGTCATCACCATGCAGGGTAGAGCCTAGCCTTACAGAGATGCAGATGGCTGGCTACTGGCATTTCATCGTCATCGTTACTGGTTACCGTTTACCTAGTGTCCTGGAGGAGGAGGAGGGGCAGGATGTGGTGGGTGCCAGTCAAGGGCTTGCCAGGGCTGCCCAGCTGGCATCTCCTCTCTCCTCCATGCTTCCCTTCAGGAGAATTTTCTGAAGGAAGTGGGGATGTTCTAGGAGTGGGGGTCCCCCTCCTGCGGCACCCTGAGGCTACTGGCCACCAACATGGGTCACCAAGTTCCTGTTTCTTGCCCTCGGCCTGGGTCTGGCAGAGGCTTCCTTGGGTGTTCCCTGTGGGCACTCCAGGGCCTGAGCCCACTGGGGCCCCTTCCTCTTGACCAGGGGTCCTCAAACTACGGCCCGCGGGCCACATGCAAATACAAATATTGTATTTGTTCCTGTTTTGTTTTTTTACTTCAAAATAAGATATGTGCAGTGTGCATAGGAATTTGTTCATAGTTTTTTTTTAAACTATAGTCCGGCCCTCCAACGGTCTGAGGGACAGTGAACTGGCCCCCTGTTTAAAAAGTTTGAGGACCCCTGCTCTTGACTCCTGGGTGGGAGGCGGGAGGCAGCCTTGTTCCTTCCTGCTGTATCTGCTGCTGTCCGTTACAGGGGACCAGGTCAGCCCGGCTGGGGCACGGTGGCGCCTGTCCCCTGGCCTTCCACTCCTGAAGCTGCTGGCACTGGCTGGGTGTCTGTTCGGAGAACCTGGGCTGGGAGTGACGGGGACCTCACTCCCTGGCCAGGTAGAGCTTTCTGAACAGCTCCAACCACTGGGAAAGTCCCTCTGGTGTGTTCTGGGACTGCCTGGGGGCCCGACTGCAGGGAAACAGGGCTGGTTCCTTTCTGAGGAAACCCAGGACAAGATTTTTAATTCCCGGGTGCCGGGCCCTGGGCGCAGGGCTTGGACCCGAGGCCTCTGCAAGCCGGCGTTCAGGATCACGAGACTGTCATGTTTGGGTTGTGCAGGCCTGGAATCCCCTGTGAAATGCCCCAGGGTCAGCGTGGAACATCCGATTAGTAATTGCTGAAGGGGAGGAGGCAGACTCTGGATTTGGGGCTCCCTGACCCTGAGCCTTGGCCCAGAGCCCCTGAGTGCGAGGCTCTTGGGGGCAGGGGTTCCTCCCACTTGGTGAGGCTGATGAGGCGGGTGCACCCTGCAGCCATCCCAGAGGCACCGAGGGGCCGTGTGGGCTCCACCTGGGTTTGAGTCCATCTTCATGGTGTTCTCTCAGTACCTCTGTTTCCCTGTCTGTAAAGTGGATAGTGGTCAGCTAGGGCCAGGGCTGTGGGTAGGGGGCCGCCTGGATTTGTATGCCGTTTGCATGACAGCCTGGGACAACCACCCTCTGCTCCCCTTCCTGGAAGTGTCTGCTGATCCCTGTCCTGAGCGTTTCCTCGATGCCGGGCCTGCTGGTATCCCCTGTGGGCCTTAGGTTCCCCACCGTGACGTGGGGCTGGTGGGCCACCAGCCTTGTCCTGCCACCAAGGTGTTTCCTCCTGTTGCCCCTCCCCCCAGCCATCTTCCTAAAGCCAGACCCTCCGCCCTGTAGACCCTGCTTCCCATGAGTCCCTCATCTTCACCTGGACGCCCAGGTGCACCCCTGCCCACTTCACAGATGGCCCTGGTCATAGGCAAGGCTGGCGAGGAGAACAGGAGAGGGTTTGGGGGTCAGGGCCCTACTCCAGACCCTTGCGTTCCGGAAATCCAGAAAGATTTGCCTTCGTGTGTGCGATTCTGTGACTTGTTTCTAGAGCTTTTTATTAATATCTGTGGTGGGTGCGGGTGCTATTTCTTTTCAGAGAAAGGACATGTGGCCAGTTGGGGAGGGGTGCCCGAGCAGACAGATGTTGCTGCCCTGCCTAGAATCACTTCCCCAATTTCCTTCAGGCCGGGCGGGGCCCCTGCAGCATCTGCGTGGACGAGGCCCTGCCTGGAGCGCTGACAGGAAGCGAAAGGGCCAAGTGGCCGGTGGGGGTGCCCTCAGGGTCAGGTGCACAGGGGGGGTGACTCCTGGGAGGGGCCTGAAGTCCCACAGACATTGATTAAGCCCCTACAGCCATCAACTCTGCCCTCCCCGCTTCAGAAGACCCAGCTCCCATGGGATTCCCGCCTGCTGGTCATCTCCCTGGCTGGCCTGGGCCCCAAGGGACATCTGGATCTCTGAAACGCACTGCATGCTCAGCAGCCCGCATTGGCCTGACCTACAGGTGCTCAGTAATGGCTGCTGGTCTGTCCTGGCCAAAACCCCGTGGGCTGACAGCTCTCACTCAGTCTCCACCTCCTCTATGCGGTGTCCTGGGAGTTTCAAATTCAAACCCTCCGGTGCCCGCCTGGGCCGGCCTTCTGAGGGCCGGAGTCCTGCTGCCCTTGGAGCTGCGAGGCTGCTTTGACGGCTTCCTGATCCCGTTGCTCAGCACCTCCCTCGTGATAGGTAAACTGAGGGCTGAGGGGCAGGGAAGGTTTCAGACTCCAGGTTCTTCAGCCTCACGGAGCCCCATTCCGATATTTTACTCATTCTTCCAGGTTCTTCTGCCCCAAATGACCTCTTCCCCAGCCTCACGGAGCCCCATTCCGATATTTTACTCATTCGTCCGTTTGTCTGTCCCTGCTCTGGGGTCTCTGTGGGAGCGGGCAAGACCTGGCCTCAGGGCTCAGTTTTGCCATCTCTGGGCCTCATGCTGTTGGGTGATGTGTGCACACTGGGCCCTGGACGCCCTGCCCTGATGCACGTTGAAAAGGGTGGATCGAGCACTTAGCAGGTGGCTGGTGTGAACCTGGTCGCCCTCTGCCCTCTGCAGTTTTCCTGATCCCACAGTAGGCACAGGAGGCTGTGGGGTTCTGCCCCACCAGCCCCCTCCCATCAGCAGCTGTGGGCGTTTCTGTGAATGGGAGAGGCTGAGAGGCCCCCAGGGACGCTACTCCCAGCACCTGGGGCCCTGGCAACGGCTGTGCGTGCTGAGTCATCCTGGTTGGGCGGCTGTGAAGGGCCTCACCAGTGTCCCATAATGTGAGGAGGGGTTTTTATCAGTGGGCGGGCAGGGAGCGCTGGGAGGGGGACATCAGATGAGGACAGACCCAGGCGGTGCGAGTGTGCGCTCTCCTCCCTTCATTAGTAGGCTCCTGCTGTATACCAGGGTCTTTGCCCAGTACCCAAAGACCCCAGTTATGCCCTTGGGGGCTCTCATCTGGGTGGGAAGAAAGAGGAGAAAGACCGGAAGAAGCCATCCCAGAATAAATGCACAATCACGGACCGTGACAGTTGTGTTGGCCTGGTTTGGGGGGGGTCAGAGCTGCAGGCCTGAGAGAGGCTAAGGTTGGAGGAGGGGGACTCCAGGTGGGCAGGACTGGGTGTGGGAGAAGTGAGGAGGCTGGTGTGAGTGGAGTAAAGTGAGCATGGGGACAAGAGTTGGAGATCATGAGCCAGCTGGCTTTGGGCCTGGCAGGCTAGCAGTTTGGATTTTTCTCCTGAGAGCGATAAGGGAAGCCGTGGTTGGCTTCTGAGCAGGGGGGGCACGGCCTGCTCTTGACGCAAAAACATGAAAGCCCCTCAGACCCTCTGCCCCTGGAGGCTGCAAGGAGGTGTCATCTACCATCCTGGTTGCTCTTGGGTGTTTTATAGGATCTGGGGGGTAAAAACCAGCCCGAGACCTTCTCTTCTTTGTTTCACTGTACTTTCATTTTGCTTATGGAAGTTATTACAGTGAATCAGTTCTTGTCCAAAACCCAAAGGATGTTAAAATAGGTGAAATTATACACAGGTGCTCACAGCAGCATGATTCACAAGAGCCAAAGTTTAGAAACAAACCCAGTGTCTATCCGCCAATGAACAGATAAACACAACAGGACCCTACCCACCCAGTGGAATATTACTCGGCCATGAAAAGGAGTGAGGTGCTGACACTCGCTACAACATGGGTGGACCTTGAACACATAGTGCTCAGTGAGAGAAGCCAGACACAAAGGCCACATAATGTGTGGTTCCATGTAAACTGTCAAGAACAGGCAAATCCAGATACAAAAAGTGGATTAGTGGTTTGCCAGAGGCTGCGGAAGGGGAGGGGAAGGGGGGGTGATGGAATGTTCTGGGATTAGCTAGAGGTGGTGGTTGCTCAATATAGCGAATGCACTAAATGGCACTGAATTGTTTACTTTCAATCGGTGAATTCTGTGTTATGTGAATTTCACCTCCATAAATATTTTGTTCAAAAAATTCAAGAAAAAGTATGTGAGTTTAAGCACTAAAGCCCCTGGGCTGAATCCAGCCCAGATTGCAGGCTCCTGGCTCCTTCACTGTCACTCCTCCCTTCACAGAACCTCTCTGCGCCAGCCTAGCTTCCGGCATGCTCCCCTGCTTCCTGCCCTGCGATGGTATCTGTCCTTCCTTTCTGACCCTCGGTGGCTCAGGAATGCCCGAGGCGGTCCCGCCGGGCACACAGGCGCTGCCGGTCGGGTCTGTTCCCGCCCGAGCTGAGTGCTTGCAAGCCGGCGTCTGGACGTGGAGAAAGACACACGTCTCTGGTTTCCTAGAAGCTGCATTGGGATGGTACAAAAATAGGCCTTTTTAAAAAAACCGCCCGTTCTCAGCGTTTCTCCGGCTAATTCTTGTTTACCACAGAGACTGGGTGGCTCCTCGGCTCCTGCACAGCCCCTGAGTGCTGGGCACTAGGCAGTTCCTTGGTTTTCCGCCTTCAAGGAGAGCAGCCTCGCTCCTGGGGTCCCCCCGCCAGCCCAGTGGCCTCATCTGGAGGTGGGGCCCTGTGGACTTTGGAGCCGCCTGGGTGGCGGAAGGGGGCCTGAGCAGACACCGTTAAGGGAGCAAAGGTCCTCCCGGGGCCCTCCGGCTCTTTCTTTATAGCCTGGGCCCCTAAGGACTAGTAGGGCCCCTGGGCCCCTTGGCAGGCTGGGAACTAACTGGTCTGGAAATGTGACCTTGGCCGGGCCCAGCAGGGCCTGGGGAGGAGACTTGTGTGCTGGGCCCTGGTAGCGGCCCCCCCACCCCAACATGTCACTTGTGGATTTGCTAGCGGACACAGTGGCCTTTCTCTCCTCTCCAGGCTAGCAGGCTGGGAGGGGCCCCCACACTAGGGTGAGCTCTCTGGCTCCAAAGGACCCCCTCAGCTCCAGGACGGGGAGCGGGGGGACTGGACGGTCAGCAGTATAACCTGCCTGGCTGTGGGGAAAATGCTCACTGTTTGGCCACAAACAAGAATTTCCTGTTTGCCCACCAAACCCTTGGGGTTGGGATGGTTACCTCACTTTTCCTCCTGCTCACGCCCCGCCCCCACCTGAGCCCTGAGACCTCCTGGCTTTGTTCCTCCTCCCGGGGCTGCCCTGTGGCCCCTCCTGGGGGATCTCCCCTGTGGGTCCTAGCACCTCTTCTCCCTCCCCCATACCCTCAGGCTGGGCCTAGAGCAAGGGGAGTGTCAGGACCTGTGGATTTGAGCTCTTTGTGCAAAGTACTCGGAAGGAAACTAGAGCAGATGAAGGGGTCAGAGGGTAAGGAAGGGGTGGGGAGGGCTGAGGGGGCGGCTCCCTGAGAAGGTGATGTCTGGGCTGGAAGGAGGGACTGACTGTGCAGAGATCTGGGGAACTGCATTCCAGGAGAGGGAACAGTCAATGCAAGGCCTGGCGGCGAGAGAGGGTGCTTGTTTTGCCCAGAAAGCACAGTCCCGACTGTAGGGCAGGGGAGGGGCAGACTGGAAAAGCCCCTCTGGCTGCTGGGGGGGCCGGGGGGCGGGTCAGGGGCAGCCTGGGCCCCACCTACTCTGAGCCTCAGTTTCTCCTTCGGGCAGTGGTTGGTGCTAGGGAGGGGGAGAGGGATACAAAGTCAGCCCAGCTTAGTATTTGTGGGTGGACACCAACACTGGGTTGAGCCCACTACAGGCAGAGGGGCTGTGTGTGTCCCGGCGCCCCGGCCTGCAGGTGGAAGAGGAGAAGGGAGCCATGCACGGAGGGAGCATCTGTGCGTGCCTCTAACCCGGGCTTTCACATCCACATCTCACATTCTTGAACTTTTGCACCCATTTCACAGCTGAACAAACCGAGGCCTGAGAAGGGTCACAGGGCAGGAAGTGAACCCAGTCGAGGTCACAGCTGGCCCAGCATGGCCCTGGCTTGGGTGTAGCTGGATTTGGGGAAGGATGAGTGTCCCTGTCCTTATGCAGCACTGAGGAACCCAGGTCCATTTAATGGGTGTCTGCTGGGTGACCAATTCTAGACACTGGGGACAAAAGATACAAAATCCCTAACATTCTGCTGGGGCTGAAGGACAGGGGACCAGACCACCAGGGTATGAATCCATGTGGGTCGGGTGACAGGAGGGTTAGGTTGGGGGAGCGTGGGGGTGAGTAAGGAAACCGTCCTCATCAGTAAAGGCGTTCCAAGTGAGAGCAGAGTGTCCGGAGAGACGGGCTGTGGCTGAGATATCTGAGGGCGGGGGCTTCTTTCAGGGCGGGGTGGGCCCTTGGTGGTGATGATGTTTGAGCTGTGGGACCTCTGGATGGAGGGGAAGCCAGCTGGGGCAGAGCTGGGAAAGGCATTCCCGGTGGGTGGAACTGCCCGGGCACAGGCCGGGAGGTGGAACCTTCTGATGGGTTTGAGTAGCAGCAAGAGGCCAGGTGAGAGGTGAGACGGCATAGGGGCCGGCTGGGTCTGTGGGACCTCGTGGGCTGCAGGGAGGGGTATCCTTAGAATCAGACAAAAGCCAGAGTGAGACTCATCCTCGGTGCCTGGCACTTGGTCCCAGGGAAATCAGGTCTCGGGGAGGAGAGCGGGGCCCTTGCCTCAGGCCTCAGCCCCAAGGAGGAGTTCCCGGAGGTTTGGCCCAGTCTCCAGCCTGGGTTTGTGGCCCTGGGTATGGCAGGTGGCCGATCTCAGCGCCTCTTGGTCCACCTTGAGGGGGGCAGGGTTCCAGCCAGGGAACCAGGCTGGGGGGTGGTGAAGGATGTGTTATGGCCCAGCTGTGTGACTCGAGAGCCTTGTGGGGACAGGCAGCCTGGCCCACTGGCCCACAAGGGGGGTCTGGACACCACCATTAGGAGTCTCGACACCGTCCCCAGCTCCCCCATTCCTGTGGCCCGGCGGACAGCCCCATCCAGCTGGCTAGGGCGGGACACACGCCACAGGGGTGCGGAACTTGGGGCCAGAGCCCCATAAAGCTAGGGCAGCCTTTATTGCCCGGCTTTGTTGTCAGCTGCCCATGACACGGCTATTAAAGCTGCCTTATTCACCACACATCCCCTTTTATGGCCTCATGCTATGCCCTGGCCCCACGGGGTCTGCCCACCATTTGGCCTGGGGTTAACAGCCCCGCACCCCACTGAGCCAGCCCCTCTGCCAAGGGTTATGGAGCAGCTGGTCTCCACCCTGAGCCTCAGTTTCCCACCTGGACGATGAGGGCCGTTACGGTTCCAGGTGCGTTTATTGCACAGCGGCCTCTAAAGAGGGGGAGGCTGAGGCAGGAGGAGCACTGAGGTCTCCTGAGGGCTGGGCCTGGGGAAGGGGTTTAGGCCGTGTGGACCCTCCCCCACCTGGGTCAGGACCTCAAAGAAGAACACGCTGCCCGGAATGAGTTTCCACGCCGTGACAAATGACCACACACGGAGCAGCTTAAAACAATAATTTATCCTCTCATATCCCGGAGCCAGAAGTCTGGAATCAAGGTGTCACTGGGCCGCGCTTCCCGGAGGTTCTGGGGAGGATCCTTCCTGCTTCTTCCAGCTTCTGGGGGCTCCCATGTCCCTGGACTTGCGGCCACATCGCCCTGGTCTCTCTAGTCTCTGCCTCTGTCCCCACGTGGCTTCTCCTCTGTGTCTGTGTCCCACCTCTTCTTATAAGGACACTGTCATTGGATTAGGGCCACCGCCTCCAGTGTGACCTCATCTTAGCTCATGACATCTGCAAAGGTCCTGTTTCACGATAAGATCCCCTCCCGAGGTTCTGGGGGCACCTGCCAATGCACGAGTCTACCCGGCCCCACACTCTGCCTAGCTGGGCCCACCTTGCAGCTGGGAAAGCGGGGCTCACTTAGCTAGCATTTCCTACACAGCTGCTGTGTGCTCAGCTACCTTCTAGATACTGGCAACAACATAGACAACATCCCTGATCTCCCACAGGGCAGACAGGGAACCAGGCGTGTGTGAATTCACACTCCCAGCCAGGGAGGAGGAGAGTGGGGAGGGGACAGGGGGGTGTCATGTGGGCAGGGAGTGGACAGACAAGGCCTGGCGTGAGCACGCCAATGGAAGGTCCACCTGCTGGGCCCACACCCTTCAGGCGGGGAAATATGGGCCTCCCTGGATGCCGTAAATCAGCACAGGAATGTGGCCGGGCCAGGCCCGGCAGGAGGAGACAAAGGCTTCGACCACCCAGGTCTGGGCTCTTGTCTCCCCCAGTCCTTGCCTTGGAGGCCCCATTTTGTCTCCATTACACAGATGGGGAAACTGAGGCCCAGAGAGGGGCAAAATGGCTGAGGAATGGTTGGCCCTGACAATCCCACCTCCCTAGACCCCCGGATATCCCTGTCGGAGGAACTGGGTATTGGGGCGTTCTTGGGCCCTGATGATGGATGATTCCAGCCGAGCTGGGGCTGACTGGTGGTTTTGAGGTCCCCCATGGTCCCGGTCCCTCCGTGTCCAGGCAGTCACAGTGCTGTATTTCCTGGAGCTTAATTTTCACTGCTTCTCCTCAGCCAATTGCCTCCCCCCTCCTCACTCTTTAATGATCTCTGCTGGCTTTCTCCCCCAGCACCTGGGAGGTCATGGTCAATGGGGTGGAGGACCCCCTGCCTCCGAAACCCCAAAAGGAGGCCCTTTCCCCTCCTGCGATGACTGGCAAACCCAGAGGCCTCCACAGTCCAGGGCTGCAGTCTCCCCGCTGCCTCTGTGCCTCGGTATCATGTGACTCACTGGACAGGGTCAGGATTCCTCATGGTGGCAACGACCTGGGTGGATGCTGTTTGGTATGAACTGTCCCCCCAAAAATGATGTGTTTAAGCCCTGGCCGGGTCGCTTAGTTAGCTGGAGCATCATCCCGGTACATCCAGGTTGCAGGTTCAATCTCTGGTCAGGCCAAAAACCCCAAGAGGAGGCCCTTTCCCTCCTGCGATGACTGGCAAACCCAGGCAGCCAGTGCCCAGGACCGAGTCTAGACCCAGAGGCCTCCACAGCCCAGGGCTGCAGTCTCCCCGCTGCCTCTGTGCCTCAGTATCATGTGACTCACTGGACAGGGTCAGGATTCCTCATGGTGGCAACGACCTGGGTGGATGCTGTTTGGTATGAACTGTCCCCCCAAAAATGATGTGTTTAAGCCCTGGCCGGGTCGCTTAGTTAGCTGGAGCATCATCCCGGTACATCCAGGTTGCAGGTTCAATCTCTGGTCAGGCCACAAATGAGAATCAACCAATAAATGCATAAACCAGTGCAACAATAAATTTATGGTTCCCCCCCACCCCGTCTCCCTCTCTCTCTCTAAAATGCTTTTTTATTTTTAAGTGATGTGTTTAAGTCCCAATTCCCAGTCCCTGTGAACGGGACCTTATTTGGAAGTAGAGTCTTTGCAAATGTCACTAGTTAAGCATTGTGATGAGATGAGGTGGCCCTAAATCCAGTGACAGGTGTCCTGTAAGAAAAGGGGATTTGGACACAGAGGAGAGCCATGTGGCAGCAAAGGCAGAGACTGGGGTGGTGCGGCCACAAGTCCAGGGGCTCCTGGAGCTCCCAGAAGCTAGAAGAGGCAGGGGGGGCCCCCCTGGAGCCTCAGGAGGGAGCTTGGCCCTGCCACACCTCGATCTCAGACTTCTGGCCCCAGAACTGTAGGAGGATAAACCTCTGTTGTTGTCAGCAGCCCCTCTGTGGGCTCCTTGTGGCGGAGACATGGGGCCTGGGCAAGCCCTGGCCTCAGGGTAACTGTCCCCTCCTTGCCCTCACAGCTCTACGAACTGGACGGGGACCCCAAGAGGAAGGAGTTCCTGGACGACTTGTTCAGCTTCATGCAGAAGCGAGGTGAGGCCGGCCTGCTGGGACGTGGTGGGACATGGGCACGAGGAAGGGGGACCCTGCCAGCCGCAGCCTGGGGCTGGTATGTCAGAGTGGCACGGAGTTTCCTGTGGCTGGAGGCGTCCAGGAGGTGTCTGAGGGGGAGACATGGCCATACCACGTGTGGTCTGAGGGGGAGGGACAGCTGTGGGACTCTGA